AAAACCAAAACAACTTTTATGAAGTTTAAATTCGCAGGCCTGTGTTATATGACAAATGGAGATACATACAGTTTATATATAATAATAAGTATAGAATTTGAATATATGCATTTTAAAACTTCCAAATGTTTCTTGATTCCTTTGAATGTAATAACTTTGTTTAAAATACACATTTTTTTCACACAAACAAAAGTTTATGAAGTTGCATTTCCAGGATGCCAAGACTATGGAAACCATCAATCACACTCCTTAATGTTACGTAAGCCTGTTCATATTGATTTGTTTGTGCTTCAATGGTTGTGTGGGTGTACGATATTTTATACCGAGCATATGACCACATACACACAATTAAATTTTTATTATCAGATTTTACTGTTACACAAGTTCTAAGCACTTTTACTGCACCCACTCTCGCAGATCTGTTTTCAACTCCCACTTAATTAAACATACTGACATCCACCGCCCTCAATGAACATGCCTATGGTTGTAAAGTCTTTCATCATTCATAAACTCTGGAGAAGAGATTTATGAAAATATTTACCAGAAAATGATCTAACATAAGGCATTTGGAAGTGATCCAACTCATACAAAATTCACTCTTTGAAAACAAAACAAAACTGGAAACTATTATCGTCCTTGGCTTATCAAGTTTTCTATCGTATTATATTCTAACTTCCATTGTTTCGTACAATTTACGTATTACTTTTCTTAAAGCAACAACACTTTCCTAAGAACGATCTGAGAGAAAAAAAACAAATGTTACTGATTATCCGTATTAGTATTCTGCCCTCAAAAGTAACATTTCGAGATAAAATAACTTAAGTATTTAGGAGCAATTGTTTAATATTTTGGTTTAAGGGAGTAGTCTTATAGCAAATAATGACACTATTTTTCATATTGATTTACTAGAAAACTTATAAAACAGTAAATGTTTTAACAGTTATGGGAAGGCACAGCGTTTGTGTAAAGATGACTTCTCTTCTCAGAGGTCCATCTAGTAAAGGGCAGGAAATTTACCATGTAAACGACTGCACTATAACGTTAAGCATTCAGACTCAACACAAATTAAGCCAAATTCATACATTTTTCGAGAAAAGAGTTATAAACTTATTAGTTATCATTCCTCAAGACATCGTTATTAATCCAAGGTTTGCCCTACTCAACTAGTTTCACTCATCAAGACATCGTTATTAATCCAGAGTTTGCCTCACTCAACTAGTTTCACTCATCAAGACATCGTTATTAATCCAGGGTTTGCCTGTTTGGAATAAAACATCAAGAAAATATTAAGATATTTTCTTACCTATATTTGACTTGTATTCCCCAATGTACCTTTTGGTAAGAAAACGAACGATGACAGCTAGTCCAGAAAAAGAAAAACATAACTGGAGCATTATAGAGACCATCAGAATCAATAAAACGTTTCAAAATATTTTAAAACATATTGAATTGAAATACATTTAAATTCAAACAACTTGTACAGATAGATTAGGGGAATAAATCATATTTTCCACGTTTCTTATACAAAAACCACAGAGTTCGATTCAACTACAACACGTTTATAAAGACAATGCACGTTCAACAAACACACCAGCCTATGCTTTGAAGGCCATTTGACCGAAAATAACAACCACATTTTATCCTATTTTCCGCTCATACAGACTGACAAAATGATTGACTATCAGATAATTAACAAGGCACGTAACTAATATGATTATTCTGAAGAAGTAAAACCTGGGGTAGAGCGGGATTCAAACGCGCTTTCCTGGTTTCTTGGTAACGAATTAATCAAATTAAACGCCACATTCGTATGCGTTAACTTACCGATTTAATTAATTTAATTAATATTTAATTTCCAGCATTCGTGTAGTATTTGTATACATTTACAACGTTTCATATTTAGTTCATAGCATAAACTTGACGCATCTTTATCAACATAGCAATTCACGAGCACTGAGCTTTAAAAATCGATTGGCTTAGTTTCATACTTTAGTTGGTCAAAGTTACTGCCCAGTAAAAACATATTGCTGTTTAAACTCTGTTTTAAGTTCTACGGTTTAAAATTCAGCTTTAAGAAATCGATTATAACTTAATTTGTTTCGGTTACTGTCGAACAAAAGAAGTCGTTGTTAAAAACTATTTTTGATTTTTACTGTTTAAAATTGAGATCGACGATACCTCAGTTGGTTAGTCATTGCTTTCAAATCTGTTTAAAGTTTTACGGTTTAATAAACCACGGGAGAGAGTTTATCGCAACATAGCTTACATTATCAACAACCACTCAAGTAGCAAGATACAAAATTTGAAAGGTTAAACTTTGGCAAAGAAAAACCAAACACTTTATTCACTCACGAGGATCTCCATGTAAGGCGTTCGAGATTATGTCGTTGCTTTGAGGGTCCACATGCTATATAACGTACGTTGTTCAATGAACACTAAATATCAAGATGCATTTTGTAGGCTTAGCTATTACGAAAGACGACACTGACGTATATAAATGGTAACCGTACAGAAAAGAGTTAATTATGTATACTAATTAACTTTAAATGTAGCCTTTCGGGTCTGTAGCAAGGATTTAGATTGGGGAGGGGGGTATGCCTAGAACTCCCCCCCCCCAAAAAAAAATAAAGAAAAACTTGCCACTTCCAGCACTCCATTTGGTTTGTATCTAACATTTTGGGTAATTTTCTTTTCTGGAAAAAAGAACTCTGATTTTCTAACAGTTTCGAGAGGAAAGCCCCGTTCCAAAAACAATATTTTTTCAATATAAATACAGTTTACAAACATACAAATTGCACATATATACATACGGCATTCATTAGAAAAAGAAATTGTCTTTGGTCTATTTCTCTATTTTTTCCTTTTTTTTTTTTTGAGGCGGATGAAATTTCGAGGGGTTGTCCCCCAACCTTCCCGCCTACGACTCTGCGGTTAGGTATTTAGATTGAAACCAGCAGCGTTTACAAACTTATGTTTCATTTCACCCCGCTCAAATAGCACAACTTTTAATCACAGAAAGTTTGTAAAAACTTGAAAGGTAAAAAAACAAAGAAACAATAAATACATTTTATAGCTGATGGCCGAGTCGAGGAGTGATAGTAGACAAAAGATGT